CAGCGCAGGGAGATGGTGGTGGTGCATATCTGCATATTGCCTGGATATTGGTGCACAGACCAAAATTCAGACTGTACGGCTGTGTCTACACTGGGCCACTTATTCCGGAAAATCAGCCGCTTTTCCGGAATAAGCTGCGAGCTGTCTACACTGGCTCTTGAATTTCCAGAAAAGCAACGATGCTCTACTGTACAAAATCAGCCACTATTCCGGAAAAACTATTCTGCTCCCGCTCGGGCATAAGTCCTTATTCCGGAACACTGTCCCGGAAAAGGGCCAGTGTAGACAGCCCAGCAGTCTTTTCCGGAAAAAAGCCCCGATCGCGAAAATGGCGATTGGGGCTCTTTTCCGGAAAAGCGCGTCTACATTGGCCACAGACGCTTTTCCGGAAAAAGGGCTTTTCCGGAAAAGCAGCCTGCCAATGTAGACGCTCATTTTCCGGAAAAACTGAAAACGGGATAGTATTCCGTTTTAAGCATTTCCGGAAATTCATGCCAGTGTAGACACAGCCTACATGTTTGGAAAAAATGAGAGGGAGCATTGTGCAGAGAGGGAGTTTCTTGACACCTTAAACAATTGTGTCTTGGAGCCGTTAGTCTTGGAACCTACAGGAGGAGAGGCAATTCTTAATTTAGTGCTAAGTGGAGCACAGGGTTTGGTTGAAGAGGTGAATATTAAAGGGCGGATTTTTAATAGCGACCATAATATAGTCAATTTTAACATTCCCGTGGAGGGGGGGGGCACAAAACAGAAGCCCTCCAGGTAGCATTTAATTTCATAAAGGGGGAGTACAGAACAACAAGCAAGTTAAACATATTGAAAGGTACACCCCTCTTCTGATCTACATGGCTTAGGAAAGAAAATGGGTAAGAGTTAATGTCCTGACTCAAATGGAACTGCAAGATGACCTTGGGAAAAATCACTGGGGGAGGGGGGAGTCTGAGCTGGACCTTGTCCTTATATGGTGTTGCTCTAGGGCAGTGGTCTCCGACCCACAGATCGTAATCAACTGGTCGATTGCGGGGTCTCTCAAAGTCAATCTCAGTCTTAGTCCTTCATGCCATCTTGTTTTTGAGCTGAAGACAGCTGCAGGATCACATCAGAACCATTCACGCACGTCACTGTATGGCTAGCTGGTTATATCTGCTGACCCCCTACATGTGACAGGTTACAAATTTGAAATGACTTCCATACCCACCTTTAAAACAGCACTCCTGATGGATTGCAAGTGCGGAATTGAAAAAAAAAATAGCAGTTTAAGGATAGTTGACACGGGATGTATAGACACAACAAACAGTTGTGTCATTAGCGTTAGACCAATCAGATGCCATTGATGTTTGAATTCAACCAATCTGCTAACGCAGCCAAGCAGCAGACAGAGAACACTCGCCCTTCAATTTCCCTTACTCCTTGTGGAAACAGGACTGCCGCTGTGGACCAGAGACCCCCTCTCAGTTCAAATTAGCTGTCTGCCCTAGACCCGCTAATCTGAACCGTGGAAAATCGACTATGGCAGCTTTAATCTTCTCCGTAGTGTAGACGTACCCTAAGGGACTGGATACTACACATGCGTGCAGGGTATGCTATGGTAGGCTTCTATGATCATATGAAAATGGTTTTTGGCCCCATATCTTGTGGTAGTGAGTAAAAACATAAGGATGGCCAGACGGAGTCAGACCAACTGTCCAATTAACCCAGGGTCCTGTCTGCCAACAGTGGCCAATACCAGATGCTGTTCAGGGAGGGAACACAAAAGGTAATCCTCACATTAGCCCTCTCCTGTCACCCATTTCCAGATAGAGGTTAGGGACATTATTCCTACCCATCCTGGTTAATAGCCTGGTTAATGGAACTAACCTCCATGAATCTATCTAGCTCTTTTTTGAACCCAGTTACAGTCCTAGCCTTCACCACATCCTCTGGCAAGGAGTTCCACAGGTTGAGTGTGCACCGAGTAAAGAAAAAATTCCTTTTGTTTGTTTTAAACGTGCTGCCTATTAATTTCATTTGGTAACTCTTAGTTCTTATATTGTGGGAATAAGTACATATTTTGTTCTTATTTGCTTTTTCCATGCCAGTCATGATTTCATAGACCTCTATCATATCTCCCATTAGTCTTCTCTTTTCTAAGCTGAAAAGTCCCAGTCTTTTTAATCTCTCTTCATAAGCAGTGCAGATGGCAGCACATTGCACACTGAAAAGAAAAACCATCACCAATTGCAAAGCTGAACAGTCTACAAGACAGTATTTGCCCTCTGAGCCCCTGGTATCAGCAAATCGTTTCTTCACTCCTTGGGGATGCTGACCAGCTTAAGTTCTCCAGGGACTATTTTCTGATCTTCCCCCTCCTCACAGAGCTGAGGTAATTGTCCAGGAGTCCTGTCCAACGCAACACCCCACAGAGACTATATAAAGGTTGCTGTCTAGCACAGTGAGTGTCTCAGATATGTGAGATTCATGCACTGATTCTCAGGGCTCTGCTTTCCTGTCACAGTAAGGAGATTTCCTCCGTCTACAGAGCAGCATTTTGGTGAGTTGCCGTTTTTTGTATAACAGTTAGCGCTAAGCACTGAAGAAAGACTTCAGGTTCCATGTCAAAAAACAACTGCGCAGGATTTCACCAGGGCAGTGAACTGAACTGTTTAGTATTATCAGAAAAACCAAGGGATTTACCTGAGAAAACCAGATCTGAAGAAACGGGTTTTCCTCATGAATGCTTTATCGATTTTTGTCAGTCTCTAAGGTTCCACAGAACTACTCGTTGTTTTGGAACTAAGTATGTAGCGTTTGAAATCGTTTAGATAACAATTTGTTTTTAAAATCAGTGGTAGAAATGTAGCCGTGTTAGTCTGGTGCAGCTGAAACAAAAAACAGGACTGTGTCGCACTTTAAAGATGGTTTAATAGGTGATGGGCTTTCGTGGGCCAGACCCACTTCCTCAGATCAAATAGTGGAAGAAAATAGTCACAACCATATATACCAAAAAATACAATTAAAAAAAAGAACACATAAGAAAAGGACAAATCACATTTCAGAACAGAAGGGGGATAGAGGGGAGGGAAGGGGGGAGGTAAATGTCTGTTAGCTAATGATATTAGAGGTGATAATTGGGGAAGCTAACTTTGTAATGGGTAAGATAATTAGCGTCTTTATTCAAATCTGAATGTAAAGTGTCGAATTTAAGCATGAATGACAGTTCAGAGGATTCTCTTTGAAGTGAAGTCTTAAAAGGTCTTTGAAGCAGGATGCAGGTAATCAAGTCGTTGAGACAATGTCCTTTCTGGTTGAAATGGCAAGAAACTGTTTTTTCTTTGTGATCCTGTCTAATATCTGTTTTGTGGGCATTGATTCTTTGGCGAAGTGTCTGAGACGTTTGTCCAATGTTTGTCTTTTTCATATGTGTTCATTTTTTTAATTTGTATCCTTTGGTATATATGGTTGTGACAATTTTCTTCCACGATTTGATCTTGTTAGTCTTTAAAGTGCTACACAGTTCTGTGTGTTTTTTTTAAATCAGTTCCTTGTATCTTATCATGTCCTTCTCTGTGTCTCCATTGCTTCCTTTTGCGGGGGGCAGTGCGGTTTGTCCTCTGGTTTTCTCAAGTTTTCTAAATCAGCAACTTCCCTGCACTGTTAGTTAATATAGACAAGGTCTCTGCAGTTTGCTACCAGAGGGTTCAGAACAAAATGGGTCACCCACTGGCCAGAAAGCCACAGACTAGGGGTTTCCTGCAGACTCTTTGAGCCCCCTCTGATCTGGGTACTGACACTCATTTTCACAGTTCAGATCCAAAAGTCAAATTTTAAGGAGTGAAACCTTGGCCCCATTGAGATCACTCTCAATCCATTGGTCGGCGCTTTACAAAAAAAAGTTTGATTTACTCCAAACATGAACCTCCGGTGACTTCAACTGGGCTTGGCCTCTGGTTTCTAAGGGGCGAGCTCATTAAGACCAAAGAAGGACAGAAGAGTTACAGACCTCACAAACTCATAGGGTATGTCTAGACTACAGGCTTTTGTCGACAGAAGTTTTGTCGACAGATACTGTAGACAAAGCTTCTGTCGACAAAGAGCGTCTAAACTACATTCAGTTCTGTCGACAAAGCAAGCTGCTTTGTCGAGATGGTAGTGTAGATGCAAAGGACAGTTTACATGCAATAACACCTTCTGTCGACAGAACTCTGTTGACAGAAGGCGTTATGCCTCGTAAAATGAGGTTTACCAGCGTCGACAAAACTGCTGAGTTCTGTTGACGTTATGTTGACAGAACTCAGAGGTAGTGTAGACGCAGGTATAGTTTTGTCGACAAAAGTGGACTTTTGTCGACAAAACCCTGTAGTCTAGACACACCCATAGGCTTAGAGATGAATGCAATTAGGATAACCATTTTTTTCAGGGAGGGAGAGGGGTTTGTTCTTTCCATGCCCCTGCATGTCTGGACCTGGAGAGCATGAGATGCACCAATATTCAGTCAAAATAAAAGCCTGTTTCTGGCTGAAAGAAAACCAGGTGGTGCTGGAAATCTCACCAGAGCAGCTCCAGGAACATGAGCTATGAAGGAAGACTGAAAGAATTGGGCTTGTTTAGTTTAGAAAAGAGAAGACTGAGAGGGGACATGATACAAGTTTCAAGTAACTAAAAGGGTGTCACAAGGAGGAGGGGAAAAATGGTTGTCCTTGGCTTCTGAGGACAGGACAAGAAGCAATGGGCTTAAGTTGGAGGTTTAGGTTGGACATGAGGAAAAACTTCCTGCCTGTCATGGTGGTCAAACACCAGAATAAATGCCTAGGGAGGTTGTGGGATCTCCATCACTGGAGATATTTAAGAGCAGGTTAGACAGACATTTCTCAAGGATGATCTAGACGGTGCTTGGTCCTGCCATGAGGGCAGGGGACTGGACTCGATGACCTCTCGGTCCTTTCCAGTTCTAGTGTTCTAGGATTCTATGTGCAGTTGCCAGGTCACAGAGGCCGAGAATCTTGAAACTGGGTGAAACAGGGCACGGACAGCCTGCCTCACGCATGGCCCAAAGCGGCAGAAGGAGGCCTCCTTGGGAAGGGGTGTGTGTCTAATAGACTGTAATGCCAGCAATTCCCAACACGGAAAAAGAGCCTCAGGAAGGTGAGTTTGCATTTCCAATGAGTTTAGGTGCTTTAAAGCTTTGTGCCATTTTGAGGAAGAGTTACTCACACTGGCTCCTTTTAACCTGTGTCCTCTCTCCCACCAGGTCTGTCCCTCTCTCCTTCCCTGCCCAGGTTGAGCTGCTGCTGGGGTTCCCTTCACCCCTGGACAGGCAGTTCTGGCCGCTCTCCCCCCTTTTCCCTGGTGTAGGCAGACAATGAATTTAGCCTAGTCTGAGGAGCTATTTCTGTGGGCCGTGGGGTCTGGCACCTGGTTTCGTTCCTAGGTGAGGGGTATCATTGAGTGGCAGGGATGGACCTTCTAGGGCTGGGGGATGTACACGAATAGCAATGAGGGCTGCAGGACAGGGAGTACACAGACTGAGGGGTGTTGCTAGGGGTCGGGGAGGCTGAGAGGAAGGTGTACAAACAGGCAGACAGTGCTCAGGGTTGTGGGGCAGTCAGAGGGACAAGCGAGCCGTGCTGGGGTCAGTTGGGGCAGCGAGTGGGGCAAACACACATAGGCAGCCCTGCTGAAATTGATTTTTGGGGGGTAATTGTTTGTCTAAGGCCAGTGTTGGTAACTTTCCTGGTTCTGAGCGCATTTAGGTGGGTCTCAGGGTCTCTTCACCCTGCAAGACACAGAACTGTAGCCTGGCTGTTTCCAATTATTGTTCAATGTTAATGACATCATTTCAGACATGGCAGTAGAAGAAAGAATGACTGACCTTTGCTCTCCCACTGCTTCAATCTCCCACAAGCTAAATATGAGGCAATAGCGTGCCACTGTTGCAAAAAAAGGCAAACATGATTCTGGGAGGCATTAACAGGGGTGTTGTGAGCAAGACACGAGAAGTCATTCTTCTGCTCTGCTGAGATGAGACCTTGATTGGAGTGTTGTGTCCAGTTCTGGGCACCGCATTTCAAGAAAGATGTGGAGAAATTGGAGAAGGTCCAGAGAAGAGCAACAGGAATGATTAAAGGTCTAGAAAACGAGAGCTATGAGGGAAGACAAAGAATTGAGCTTGTTTAGTTTGGAAAAGGGAAAACTAAGATGGGACATGAGAGCAGTTTTCAAGTATCTAAAAGGGTGTTACAAGGAGGAGGGAGAAAAATTGTTCCTCTTGACCTCTAAGGATAGAACAAGAAGCAATGGGAAGTTGAGGTTGGACATTAGGAAAAACTTCCTAGCTGTCAGGGTGGTTGAACACTGGAATACATTTCCTACGGAGGTTGTGGAATCTCCATCATTAGATGTTTATCTAACCTGCTCTTAAATATCTCTCTCAGGGATGATTTGGATGGTGCTTGGTCCTGCCGTAAGGGCAGGGACTGGACTTGATGACCTTTCAAGGTCCCTTCCAGTTCCAGTGTTCCATGATTCTGATTCTCTGACTCCCTGTCCATACTCTCCTCTAACCCAGGCTTCCCTGATTCCAACAGCACGGTGGTCACCAGCACCTTCTCCATGGTCTCCAATCATCCCTGGCTCCCACAACTGCCAGCCCCCACCCCCCCACACACACACTTTACACAGCTTTCCTCTGAAGGAGTGAGCTGCCTCCCCATCACAAGTGCTCCCTTAGCTGGTGGGAGAAAACTGACTGTCTCACCAGTGAGAAATGTCTAGGTAGGTGTCCGAGTGGCTTCTCTGCACCCATTCACACCAGGCGTGACTACGGAGACTGCTACACACGGTCAATGAACAAGCCGAGACATTTGCACATTCTACAATGAGAGCAAGCAACTCTACAATATTAATAAGCCTTGATAAATACAACGGTCATATGCACAATTTTCTGGTAGCTACCTGAAACAGTAGGCTAGTGTGAGAGAGATGTTAACCCAAGATGGTCTTTGACCATTTGTAGCTAGCTCCGTTAGTCATATATGGGAAGGTTGTATGATTTGATGGGATGACATCATTGTTTTTCTTATATAAATAGTCATTCGGTGTCTCAAAGGGCTCCTTAGCCTTGTGAAATGCAAACCTACTATAACATTGTCAAGGCACCAGTCACATACGAACTTCCCCAGTAGATTCTGCCATGGTCATGAATAGAAAACGGACCCTAAGAAGGCTGACTTACAAACTTGCAGGGACAATGCCCCCTGGTCACACCTTCCCAGATTCATAGGCCAGAAGGAATTATCACCTCTATTGATTTTCTGTAAAGGACAGGCTGGAGAATTTCCTCAAAATTACTCCTTGAGCAGATCATCTAGGGAAATATCCAAACCTTTGTTTAAAATTTCTCAGTGATAGAAAATCCATGATGGCCCTTGATAAACTGGTTCAATGCTTACTCTCACCCTTTAAAGAAATCTATACAGCTTATTTCCAGTCAGAATTCCTTTAACTTAAACTTCCAGCCATTGCATCCTCTTATACCTCTGTTTGCCACACTGAAGAACCTATTATTCAATATTGGTTCCCCATGTAATATTGACAGGGGATTGTAACGCCACCCATTCACCATCCTTGTTGCATAACATAAATTGAGCACATTTAATCTACCACACAGGAATGGTTACTTAGGGAGGTGGTGAAATCTCCATCCTCAGAGGTTTTTAAGTCCCGGCTTGACAAAGCTCTGGCTAGGATGGTTTAGTTGGGATTGGTCCTGCTTTGGGCAGGGGGTTGGACTCAATGACCTCCCGAGGTCTCTTCCAGCCCTAGGATTCTATGATGCTATAATTATAATAGGGCAGGATTTATAACCTTTGACTGATTCTTGTGACTCTTCTCTCAACCCTCTATAGTGTATAAATATCCACATTTAATCATGGACACAGGAACTGGATACAAGATTCCAGCAGCCGTCGCACCAGTGCCAAATACAGAGGTAACGTAACTTCTCAATCACTGGAACCTCAAGGGGATCATCCCAGGAGTAATTAGACTGTTTTGACCACAGGGTCACACTGAGAACTCATATATAGCTAATTTATATCTTTACGACTCCAACCCCTGTTCAGAGTCGCTGCATCTAATAACCCATCTTGTTAGTGTTTAGAGTGCTACATAGTCCTGTTTTTTGCACTTCCCATGACTGTTTGCCACTTTGTAAGTAGCACCTACATTCTTTGTTCCTGGATTTAGACATCTGTCAACACACATTTTTTCTTTTGTTCGTATTTGGTCAACCAGTCCAGATTGCTCCCAATCAACCACCTCTCCTCTTTATTATTTACGATCCCACCATTTTTGATTCATTGGCATATTTGAGCCACAAGATGGATAAGCCAGGGCAGACACGTGTATCTGTTTGTGGTTGTAAATCAATACCTATAACTTCTCTCTCAGGCAACGATAGGTTCCAGCAAGAAAGTGTGTCACCATCAGAAATAAGGGGAGTAAAAGGTGCAGGCCTGTAGCTCTAAACACAAAGATCCTTGTGCCCATACTGCTTATTCTGTTCAGCAAAAAGTCACAGTCTGGCAGGATAATGTCTCCTTCGATGCAGGGAAACCTGGATCTTTTACAATATAGAAATTTCATCTTGGATCAGACTATGATCCAGCTAGTCCAGGGTACTCTCTGATATGGATGGCCTTAGGTGTAAAGATTGTAACTAGATAAGTCTCAATAGCCAGCTATGCAAAACCTTTCTGATCCTTGCTTAGCACTTGGCCTCAACTACCGATCCTTGCTTAGCTCTTGGCCTCAACTACCTCCTGTGGTAATGAGTTCCCCAGTCTAATCAGGCAATGAATGCAGAAGATTGTCTTTTTTGTCTCTGATTTATAATTGCTAAATTTCAATTTAAGTGAATGTCACCCTGACCTTCTCTTATGAGATGGGGAGACTAGATTGTAGTTCAACTCTATCCACTAGTATTTTGTGCACTTTTTCTTATGCTCTCTCTTATTGATCTCCTTAATAAGCTAACGACCCCTACTTTTCAACCTTACCCTGGTCTGAGAGTTTCTGCCCTTGCTCTAGTTCTACAGTATCCTGTGTGAGGAGGATTGCTCAGTAATGCAGAGAGAAGTCGACACTAGAGTAAAACATTGACAGACTGATCTCATGCCATCGTGCTTTCTACATGATTTTCTAGCCCGGATAACAATTGTTTGCAAAGATTCTGGCCCAGAGCTGTGTATGTACCAAGATACCCAGGTCTGTCTCCTGAGTTCATAGAGTTCGATTAGAACTTTGTTAGACATGCAAGGAATTCAAGCTTTTCTGTATAATGGACATACCTGTTGCAGTTATAGGCAATGACTGTTACATGCCATCATGCTACCCTTTCACCATATTGGCTAGCTCCTTAGGAGGATTTCTCTGGAGCTGGCTATGACCTAAATAATCCAGTGGCATCTGCATATGTTGCCACCTCATTCTTGATCCCCCTTTCTACATTGGAAAGGAGCATAAAATATTGACCATACTATGTGCTTCTCTTCTTTCACAGACACCTTGATCATTGTGGTGCCCAATAGAGGAATCAACCACCTCATGGCGGCTTTCAACAGCACCCCCTCTGACTCTTCAACATTCATCCTAACA